TCCTGGTTCACCCCACTTTCTCAGGGTAGTTTATTTCCAAGGCGTGGTTAACCCTGCGGGGCTGCAAAGCGGTTGTCCGTGAGCTAGAGTTATTAGCCCACACAACTACGACAGCGTTTGCGCCCCCTACGGTTTCTTACCACGGCCTTTCCCCTGCCCGAAAGGCGTAGCATTCGCATCATGTCCCAGGCCCAGCTAGACGAGGTCATGGCTCAGATTCAGGCAATGCAAGCCCAGATGGCGAGTTTGAACAGCGAAGTCGTGAGACTTCGGACGGAAAATACCGAGCTTCGCCAGACGCGTGGTGAAGCGCGTCAGGAGTCGCCTGGAGTCGCCGACAACGAGGTCAAGCAAGGTGCCGACGACGCGGCGAGCGAAACCGTCCTTGACGAGCTCGCACGGGAGTTGGAGCAGGACGATGTGCGCACTGTGACCGTAACGAAGATAAAGCTCAAGCCAGCAACACCGCCCCCGTTCAACCCTTCGGACAAGGCGACGACGGTGCAAGGGTGGCTGTTCAGCATGGAGCTGTTCTTCACGGCAGCAAGTGTACACATGGATGACGCGCGCATTAATTATGCCGTGTCGCTGCTTCGAGGACCAGCGTTGGATTGGTGGCGCCGACAGTTGGCGATTGGGACTCCGGCAGGAGTGAAGCAGGCGAAGGACGGGACTTCGGATTCTTCAAACCAACAGGCAGAAACATTATTCAGTACAACCACGATTCGCACGTGGAAACAGTGGGGCACAGCTCTGCGAGCTCGTTTTGAGCACTCATCCGCCTCAGACGACGCTCGCATGAAGCTGCGCAACTGGCGGCAGGTGACTACTGTTCAAGATTACACTGCGTCGTTCTCGGCACTTGCGGACCAAGTCGACGACCTCAGCGAAGCGGAAAGGCGGGACAAATACGTGAGCGGGCTGCATTTCGATATTCAATACGAGTTGCAGCGGTCCCGTCCCAAGACGTTCGACGAGGCTGTCCAGCTGGCGTCAGCAGCCGATGCACTGCAGCAGTGGGCGAGAAAGAACAACAGGGATGTTGGTCGTTTTCGCGGACAGTCTCCCCGCCCCACGATCAATGGCGTGTCAGCGCCCGATGAAGTATTTCACGGGCTATGTTTTCGATGTGACAAGCCAGGTCACCGAGCTAAGTACTGCCCGACGGCGCCCAAGAAGACGAAGAACGACAAGGAGAAGCCGGGAAATGGGAAAAGTCAGTAGCAGACGGGCCCCCTACTGACGAGGCTTTGTCGCCCGAAATTCAACGTTCCCACCAAGTTGTGGTACCGATACACGCTATCGACCGCACTCGGACGAATAACGGGAGCGAACCTGAAGATCACCCTGTGCTGGTTGAGGGCAAGGTTAACGGCAAAAAAATAAAATTATTTGTGGATGGCAGAGCTAGCCATAGTCTCATTCACATCGCAACAGCGAAGCAGTTGAAGCTGACGTTGGAGAAATGCCTTCCCGAAATCGACGCGCGCTTGGTGGACGGAACTCCACTTGCAATTCGGGAATGAGCGCGCATGGTGCGGATGAAGTGCGGTGACGATTTCGGATTCAGCATGCCGATGCTGGCCACGACGCTGGACGGTTGCGACATTCTGCTCGGGCGTGATTGGCTGCGAAAATACAATCCGGGGATTGACTGGACAACTGGCGAATGCAGCGTCCACTGTGCGAACGGGTGGCGCGTACTTCCGTGCTGGCGGGGGCGAGATCCGGTGTCGACACGTGTCAACGCCATCACTCTCCAGCGAGCGGTTAAAAAAGGAGCTGACTTGTACGCCGTCTACCTGGCCGAAGCGACGGTCGATGATACGTCAAAGGACATTGACACACTTTGTGCCAGTGTCCCTGCCGAGCTTGCCGCGCTAATTCGTCAATACCCAGATATTTTCCCGGACGATCTGCCAGCAGGACTGCCACCCGAGCGCCCCCAGGACCACAAAATTGACCTGGAACCCGGCGCGCAGCCTACAGTCAGGACTCAGTGGCGGCTGACTCAGCCGGAACTCGCGGAATTGCGAAGCCAACTGGACTACCTCTTGGAGAAAAAGTTCATTCGGCCCAGCACCTCCCCGTTCGCAGCACCCATTCTGTTCACGCCCAAAAAAGACGGCGGTCTGCGAATGTGCATCGACTACAGGGCGCTGAACCGACGAACAATCAAGTCCCGCTACCCAATCCCCCGCGCGGACGATCTCCTCGATCAACTTCGCGGAGCTCGCTTCTTCTCGAAAATCGATTTACGCGGCGGTTACCATCAAATCCGAGTCTTCGCTGACGACTGCCACAAGACGGCATTTCAAACCCGCTATGGCAGCTACGAGTACACGGTGATGCCGTTTGGCCTCACGAACGCGCCCTCCACGTTCCAACTTACCATGAACGGCGTATTCCGGGACCTGCTCGACAAGTGTGTCATCGTCTACCTTGATGACATCCTGATCTACAGCAAGACCCAGGAACAGCACCTCAAGGACCTGGCGAAAGTTTTCCAGCGACTGCACGAGAACCGACTCATCACGAAAGGCTCTAAGTGCGAGTTCCTAAAATCCGAAGTGGAATTTTTGGGACACGTGATGGGAGCAGACGGCATCAAAATCGATCCGAAAAAAATTACGACGATTCGCGACTGGAAGCCGCCGACGAATTTACAGGAGCTGCAGAGTTTTCTCGGGTTCGTTAATTACGTCCGACGGTTTATCCCCAATATGGCAAGGATAACCGGACCATTAACCGACTTACTGCGGAAGGGCACTTTGTTTGAGTGGGGGGAGAGACAGCAGATTGCTTTCGACGAACTGCGAAATTTTCTGATGTCGCCCCCGGTCCTCCGAATCGCCGACCCATCTCGACCGTTCGAAGTCTTGACGGACGCCAGCGATTTCGCCATTGGAGCGGTACTGTTACAAGATTTCGGCGACGGACTCCAACCCATCGCGTATGAGTCCCGGAAGTTGCAGGCAGCTGAACGCAACTACCCCGTTCACGACAAAGAAATGCTCGCCATCGTGCACGCATTCAAAGTGTGGCGCTGTTACCTGACGGGGGCCGACGTGACAGTACGGACAGACCATAAATCACTACAGTACCTCCGCGCGCAGCCGAATCTCAATCCACGACAAATTCGGTGGCTGGACTTCCTCGAGAGCAATTTCCACTACACGATCACGTACAAACGTGGGGCGAATAACATCGCCGACGCGCTGACACGACCATCCGCCCACCTCGCCTCCATCATAATTGCGAAATCCAACCCACTGCTCACTGGACTATTTACCCACGGCTACCACACCGACCCCTTTTTCACCCGCAACCTCCACCAACAGGCCACCACCGCAAAGGGACCCTACTTCCTAAAAGCCGGTACTGACCGCATCTGGGTTCCCGCCTACAGACTCCTCCGCGAATTCCTTATCCAAGAGGTCCATGATTCTAATCTCTCCGGTCATTTCGAGGTTGACAAAACCCAAAAGCTACTTCACCGTTTTTATTATTGGCCTGATTCAGCGTCTGATGTGCAGAGATACGTGTCGGCGTGCCCGATCTGCCAACGCATGAAGTCCTCTCGCCAGCGGCCGGCGGGACTGCTGCAACCGCTCGAGCCACCCCAGCGACCGTGGCAACACGTGACGATGGACTTCGTCACGGGGCTCCCTGCAGCAGCCACAGGCAACGACGCCGTGCTGGTTGTCGTCGATCGACTGACGAAGATGGCGCATTTCGCACCCTGCCGTACCACAATCACCGCCGAAGACACCGCGAAACTTTTCATCTCCACCGTTGTTCGCCTGCACGGCCTACCCTCAGCGATCATCAGCGACCGCGACCCGAAATTCACGTCGAAGTTCTGGCAGGAGACATGGGCCCAGTACGGCACACGCCTCCAATTCTCCTCCGCCTACCATCCTCAAACCGACGGTCAAACGGAACGCACCAATCAGACCATGGAACAACTCATCCGGACCAACTGCCCCGATCCTGCTCGGTGGGAAGATTTCCTGCCCATGTTGGAGTTTTCCTACAACAATGCCCCATCCGCGACGACTACTCACTCGCCGTTTTTCCTAAACTACGGAATGGACCCGACAGTCCCGACGACTACCAACATCGACAACCCCGTGCCACGATCCCAGCAGTTCGTGACCACTTTACAAACTGCCCGGGATAAAGCTATCGAATTCATTCGCAAGTCCAACTCCACAGCTCGACGCTACACGGATCTTCATCGCCGCGATATCACGATGACAGCTGGGCAACTAGTCCTTCTCGACACGAAGAACCTGCGATTGCCCCTGCCTTCCAAACTCCGCCCACGATTCTGTGGCCCGTTTCGTATCATCAAGATGGTGACACCTGTCACAGCGAAGTTATTACTTCCGGACGAGTGGCGAATTCACGACGCATTCCACGTCAGCCTGCTTCGCCCCTACGTCGCCAGCACGTCTGCCGTCGCACGACCTGCAGCCGCCCCAAGTGTTCGTCCCTTGGCTGAACCCACGCTCGAGCCTTTTCGGCTTTTGAGTCATCGCGTTCGCCTCGACTCGACAGGACGCCACGTGGATTTTCTTGTCCGCTGGGTCGACCGTACAAGCGAAGACGACACCTGGGTCACTTCCGACTCGATTCAGGAACACTCGGTGCTCAAATCTTATTTGACCCGAAAAGGCGTTCCCGATATTGATCACCTTCCTTAGGGGGGGGGGGTAGTGTAAGGAATTTTATTCCTTACCGGGTTGTACTGCAATCGCGTACACCCGAACTCTCGGAACACCAGGCTCGGTCAGTTTCCAACGCGACCCCGAGGCACGCCCGCACCGCCTCCGAACCTTTCGACCGCGCCTGTACCCAACCTAGCCTTCCGGGCTCGTCGCCTAGCTAGAGCTCTCGCTATATAATGCTAGGCTCCCATTCTTGTACTCGTCATGATTATTCCGCGCACTCTCAGTTATTATTCATAACACTCTGAAACTGGACATGGGGCTGCTTCCTGCACTACCTTCACAACATGCAAAGCAGCATCTTACATCACAATTTGACCAACAGAATCTGAGTTTAGCACTCTTAACTAGTACAAACTGGCAGTTGGATCTACAGTACGAGCCTAGCCTCCACCACCCTGCAGAATTCCCGCAGCTAATTCGCAGTGGGCCAATCCTGATAAACCAGATGCACATCATTGCCCTGGCCGAGCAGGACAGTACTGCACTGCATCACCTCGTTCATCGCCTTTCGTCACCTAATCTATTATCGCCCCTTGTCTCCATCACTCTATTGCATTCTCCCCATCTGTCTGCAACCCCAATCCATCATCACCTAACTGGCTTCACCAGGCACCGCTGCCGCCAAAAGCACGTCTTCTCAGCTCTTCACCAGGCACTCTCTTCAATTCTCTGGTCAGCAGCTTCCCTTAACCTTGCTACCTACAAGTTGCCATGACTGCTGCTTCCAGTGCTCCTCCACCTACCGCTTCCAGGCACAGGTAGCAGTTCCCACCTACACGCCGTCTGCTCTTGCATGTCGTCTGGCTCGAACATGTACCATACGCTGCTAATAGGATCCCCACCCATCCTTTCCGCCTTTGCCCTCAATGCCGTCTGACTTTAAGCATACGCCATACGCTGCTAGTAGGAACCCCTTTTCCCTTACCACCCTTCCTCATAGTCTTGTTAAGCCTACCGCCTCAGGTCTTCTGGCAGCTGCCACACGTCTTCTGCTTCTCATCAGCAGTTGCATACCCCATACGTGGTGGCAGATTCCCTATGCTGCCTAGTTGGCTACACTTCCAGTTCTTGAGGTACAGCTGCCACACACACATCTGCTAGAGGCTCTCCGGCATGGAGTCATGCACCCCCCGCCACCGCTTATGACCCATCTCTCCCCTCATCACCCGATTCAAACTACCGCCGTTTCCAGTTTTTCAGGTACAGCTGCCACACGCACGTCTTCTGCCCGGGAAAACAATAATCCTTCCTCGGGTCGGTCACCGTGAAATTCCAAAACGCCGGGGGGGCACCCTTCTTCTCCAGCCCCCTCTTCCTAAACTCCATCTCAGTCTTATCTTCATTCCTCAACCAACACATCTGCTGGAGACTCTCCGGCATGGAGTCGTGCACACCCCACCACCGCTTATGAGCCGCCTCGTTAGCGAAGTTGTGGTCCCAGGGGTACAGCCACGTGCAGTCAAAGTCGCGGTAGCACTGCCACGGCTTGCGGCCGAGGTAGTGGATCGTGTGGATCTCAGCCGGATCGTCTGAGAACCACCGGTTCTTGGTGGCTAGTTCTAGGGCGCGTTCTGTGGGTTCTGACGCCCAGATGTGCTTGAGCGTGTTGTAGGAATTCGGGAGGCGGTGCCACCAGGTGAAGATGTTGTTCAAATAGCCCTGGGGGGTTGGGTGGGGAGGGATAGAGGGACAGAGGCGGGAGAAGCTGTTAGACTGGCTCCTGCAGTGGCCGTCGCATTGTGCTTGAGCGCATTGTATGAGTTGGGCAGGTGGTGCCACCACGTGAATATGTTGTGCAGGTAGCCCTGGGGAGGGAAGAGGTGAGGAGAAAGGCGGGGAACGGAAAGTTGAAAGGGGAAGGAATGGGAAAAGGGGTGTGAAAAAGGCAACCCGATGTGCCCTAGGGTGTTGTATGAGTTGGGCAGGCGGCGCCACCACGTGAAGATGTTTGTTCAGGTAGCCCTAGGGGGGTCAGGTGGGATAGAGGGATCGAGAAATGGTGGTGAGTGAGGGGGCAGGCAGAGGGCAGAGGAAGACAACAGGAGACAGATAGAGAGGTAGTGGACCATGTGGATCTCAGCCGGCTCCTCCGAGAACCACCGGCTCTTGGTGACCAGTCCTAGGGCGCGCTCCAAGCCGGATGAGCATGAGGCCAGAGTTGAAGTCGGTCTGGTCGTCGCCGCACGCTGAGAGGTCCGGGAAATGGGCACTTGAACCGACCCCATCATCTCACCAGTGACCCTTCATCTCAGCGAAAAGCAACCTTCCCACCAGTGTCCCCATTCTCACCTGGTCCCCTCCAGTGGGCGATGGGATGGTGTGCGCGTTGGGAAGCACATGAGAAGGAACATCAAGAGAAGCGGAAAGCCCTTCTCACCTGGTCCCCGCCGTTGGGCGATCTGATGGTGTGCACGTTGGCTAAGAGCTCCCGGAAGGTGCACTGGGAGGGGCGGATGAGCATGAGGCCGGAGTTGAAGTCGGTCTGGTCGTTGCCGCGCGCTGACAGGTCGGGGAAGGCGAAGAGGTGGTCGAGATTGCGCAGCACGAGCAGATCCGCGTCCACGAAGATGACCGACGAGTACTCCGTGAGCTGCCACAGGCGCAGCTTGCTGCGAGGAGGAAGGGGATGGAGAGAAGGAGGAAGCAGGGGGGAGGAGTGGAGAGGGAACGACATAGGCATTATGGAGATTGCGCAGCATCAGCAGGTCCGCGTCCACGAGGATGACCGACGAGTACTCCGTCAGCTGCCACAGGTGCAGCTTGCTGCGAGGAGAAAGAGGACAAGAGGGGAGAGAGATGCATAAAGTGGCTAGAGATGCCTTCTTGCGTCCACAAACACCACCGCCAAGTGCTCGGTTAGTTGCCACAGACGCTGCTTGCTGCAAGGATAGGCTAGGGAGAGCTGGGAGGAGAGGAGAGAGTCGCTAGGGGGTGGCATGCTGCTTCCACTGACACACCGGCTCCGTCAGATGCCACAAGCGCAGCTTGCTGCCATATGGGTTGAATAGGGAGGCTTATAAGGGGGATGGTAAGACTCCTACCGTGGGATTGGAGGAGTGTACGAGATAAAATTGATTTTCCATCCACTTCAAAAAACAAAAAATGTTCACTGTACCTGTAGTTCCATTGATTATACGATGTTTTGCTCCCATACGGATTCCGGATCTTCTCAATCTCTTTCACTTTCCACCCCGCCTCTCGGAGCGCGTCGCGGCTGCGGTTGGTGATCTCGGGCGACACGAGCACCACCATGTCGTGCTGGCTGCCGCTGCGCCGAATGCTGTGCGCCAGCACCATCGCGCCGCACACGTAGTTCTCCACTGTATGGAGCACTGTGGCGTAGGCAACGGTGCCCACAGCAGGCGGCTCTGGCAAGAGGGGAGGAGGGGGGGGGGGGGGGAGGGGAGGGGAGGGGAGGGGAGGGGAGGGGAGGGGAGGGGAGGGGAGAAGAGCGAGAGGAGAGGCGGTGAATGCTGTGCGCCATCTCCACCGTGCCGTGCAAAGGAGAGGTGGTGAAAGCACCGCAACGGTTCATCCGTGGTTTTCCAACGTTCGTCACAAACGTAACACTGTAAACGATAGCAGACTCTCCTTTCGGTATACGATACCGGCATAAGATGCCTTTTTTTTAGGCGCCTCAAAAATCCTTTCGGTATACGATAAAAGATGCCTCAGATGATCGCGGCGTGGCGAAGCGTTTCCGCTTCCCTTACCTTCGGCCGACAGCGTCGGCTGCGCCATGCCGCACGAGCCTGCCGGCTGCAGCCGCGCTTTGAGGTCGCTGGCCGTCAGGTTGTACAGCCAGACCGGCCCGTCCCGTCTGACCAGCCGGCTGCACGGCAAGAGGTTCAACGGCGGCCGGCACTCGGAGATGAGAACGAGCGGCATCCACAGCTTGTCAGCCTGGAGGCACCAGTGGAGTGGGGGGAAGGTGGGCGCCAGGAGAAGGGTGGGGGGGTGTGTGTGGTACGCAAAGGGGAAGTGATTTGAGCATAGGCAGCACAGGCGACAGCTACATCCATATATTATCGACCTAGCGAGGGGTTACGGGTGAATGGGTTGGGCGGATGACGGACAGCGGGCGGCGGATGGCGAGGAGCGAGAAAAGAGGGACAGGGGGAAGAGGGGCGGAAGACGTGACGGAAGGCGGTGGAGGGTGGGTAAGTGTGTGGGTGTAGGGGAGGGGAGAGGAGGTGGGGGAGAAGGGGGAAGGGGGAGAGTGGGACGAGACCGTTTGTACCAAGGCACCGCCGGTGCACTACGCTCACTTTTCTGGTGACGGACGTACCTGGATAATCAGATTCGCCAGCGACAGTAACATGTGCTGCCACTCCACGTCTTTCGCCCATCCGGTTACCGGCTCGCGACACTCCACGCGAGCCAACAGCGCGTCCGCCTGCTTTCGCCCGCTCTGCCACCGCGCTTCCGGCAAATATGGGCAGCTGTTCGGCTTCGTTTCGTTCACCCACTCCGGGTAGAGCTGCTTCCATTCTAAATACTCCGGCGCGTGCGGAACCGCCAAGGGGATTAATCGACGCGTCGTGTTGAAACGCGCGAATTCCGCGTCCTCCATGTTGACCACTGCCACGTTGGCGAAGCGCACTCCGGAGGCCTTCTCCCACGTGGAGAGCACGCGGAAGCCACGCGCGTACGCGCTCTCGCGGGACAGCACGAAGAGGAACTCGATACCGACGGATGCGGATTGTAACAGTAACATGTGATTCTTTCGCAGCATGTCGGCGAGGAGCAGCAGCGAGAGGAAGGACAGCAGGACGAACCAGATCTCCCGGGAGCTCGCGGCGCGCTTCTTTCCGCAGAGAGAGCCGCCGCCGGTACCGATGCTCGCGAAAGCACTACTACCTTTAAAAAAGGACGTGAGAGAGATGGACGACGAATAGGAGAATGAAGGACTACTAGAGAGGGAACCAGCGGTTCCGAGGGGTGACGGACAGCCGTGAAACCCGGTGAGCTTGGTCGAAAGAGCCAACGAGCGGTTGGCGTGGTGAAGCAACGTGTCGCGCAGCCATGCGACGGAGGCTCCCCCGGGACTGTCGCCGAGGGTGGCGGCTTGCGCCGGGGGAGCGGAGACGGAACGCTTGGGACTGTGTGACCTTTTGATGGGGATAGATGATGGTGACTTGTCATGGATGCTGACAGCCGTGTCAGAGGGAGGTTGAGAGGAAGGCAGGGGAGTTTGCGAGGAGGGGGTCTGGTTTGGTGCGGTCGACATGGCGGAGGAGCAGGGAAGAACGAAAGAGATTACTGTGGTAGCTAATCAACAGGAGCTGAGGAGACTGCGCGGAGGAGTTCAGAAGGGGAACATAAGGGAGTTAGAAGAAAGGTTCCGGGCTAAAGGGATAGACAGTATATGCCAGGGAAGCGTCAGTATCATCATCTGAGGTCAGAGGACTTCGTAGCCAGGCGGGGATGATGCGTGACAGGGGGATATTTCCCAGAGGAACTCCTCCTGTGGATATCAGAGGAACGACTGGCGTTCTTGGGCAATGGCACCTCGGGAGTGGTTGTGACATGACGTATCACCTAGAGGTTGGTGAGATTTAGGCTCTCAACAAGGCGATCGTGGTGATGTCCATGGTGGGTGGATGTTACAGGGGGGGTGCTGGTGCCGCCGTAAGCTGGGCTTGGAGAAGCTGTTCTGTACACACAACTTGGAGAAACGGCTGGAACAATTCTGAGTGTATATTAAAATCGAAAACTCTCGTGTAGAGTGTAAATAATAAGCGTGCAAGTTACTAATTAGGTGTTTGTAATGCGTGCTCCATTTCTCCAACATTAGCAATCTCTCTCTCACGGCTCGTTTTGCCCGAAAGTTTTCTGGGCAAGAAAATGCTTCTGAAGGTTTGAACTGGCCGCGATTAAGGAGGGGCCAAACCAAGGCGCAAGAAGCATTTCGCGCCTCGAGGGCTCCGAGTAGATTGGTCAGCGCAATTTTTAATGGAGTTGGCTCAGAATTCCCGAACCTGATTGGTCGAGAGTGGGGCAAGTTTGGGGACAGTTGAGGGGCTCCCAGGCGCCCGTCGAATCGTCGCAGGCTGATTGACTAAATTTCTTGACATCACTATTGTCGCGGTGCCGCATCAAGAGCACGTTACCTCTCCATGGAGGTCTCCAGGACAAGAGCGAGCGGGACACTATTGAATGTATGAATAACGATGAGCACCTACCTAGTTGTGTAATTCCGTCTGTTAAACGTACGAAACGCCTTACTCTAGTGGTTTACGGAGACTTCAGTATTGAGTTTTGACTGAAGCTGACGCATGTCAGAATCGAAGAGATTTGATTGGCCAAGGGGTTGTACTGCTGCGCTCTCCGGCGTACAGTACAGTTCAGCCGAGAGCCGTATTGTTGTACTGTGCACTGTACACACCTTGCACTCCACGCGCTTCGAGATCGACACCTGGTTCATCCAAGTCAGCCAATCCCATGCAGTTCTTCACTCGAACTGTTCCCGCGCCTTCTCGTTCCGCAAGCATACAGTACGTTACAGGAGTCGCCTGCTCGCTTGTGTCACATGTGGTGCCCTCCTCGACTCGACTCGACTCCAATCCAAGGAGGCAGCCGCCGTCCTCGGCCAATCGATACGTACAGCTGGCGAGCGATGGGCATCCTTCGTTCCCCTCTAGAAGACGCCGCTCGCCCCTCCATTCCATACGGTTTGCGCCCCCTCGCGCCTTCCATTTCTTCCGCTTCTTCTCTTCTCTTCCCCCGCCCCTCTCCCACCCCCAGCCCAAGCCACCTCCTCTCCCCCGCGCCCATCACCTCACCACGACGCCCTTAGCAAGCTACAAGACTCGTTTCGTTTTCTTTCGCCCGCTGCTCTTTCTCGCCCGCTGCTCTTTCTTTCGCCCGCTGCTCTTTCTGTTCACAGCACCAAGCCAGGTCCCAAAGAAAGACCCCTATCCTCACTTCTGTTTACGAAAAATGTGTAGGGTGCTTTCTTTCTTCTCTTGCGCGTCTAGATAACTTCAACTCAAGCATCTTGACTATTTTAACCTTTCATTGTTTCAGTTTCATAGAAGCGATCATTTAGTAGTATTAGTTCGGACGTATGCACCCACTCTCATAAGCAGGAAAGCCGGTCGTTGAAATCTTGTCTCTCTCTTTTTGGGTGTCTACATTCATAGCCGCTTTCAGATCCTCTAGCAATGGCGTCTCCTCCGGGGTACAGATCGGCCAACCGTAGCCCACCTCCTACTACTATTAATAGCACTAGAACCGGTAGTTCTCCTCAAGCCTATCAAGGACGACTATCTCCTTTGACCTCACCAGAATTTAGGCCGAGATTTGCTACCTCTGTCTTCCGTTCGTTACTAGACACCACAGTAAGCAGTACGGCGATTAGTGGTAACAGCGGGAAGCGCAAATCTCGGCTATTCCTGATTCTTCTGGCGTCGCTGATCGCCCTTGTCTTCTGCAAAGCATGCAGCACCACGCAATGCCGTTCGATCTTCCAAGACATCCTTCCCATCCGACCGTTCATCTCCTCGCAGCAGATCGACGGTCGACACGGGCTCTCTATTCTTAGCTCCTGGAGCCATCAGCATGGCTTAAGACTATCTCGCGTCGCGACTTTCAATCTGGACAATCGTACCAGTCTGCGATCTTTCGCGTATCCGTACGAGCTCCTTCCGGTACCTGTAACGGCCGTACCGGAACATCTCAAATGGACGGATGCGTACCCCGAATGGGTCAACCAATCGCTGCCATCGTCCTGCCCGGAAATTCCGCAACCAGAAACGCCCTCGTGGTTGGGCGACGTGGATGCGATCGTCGCATACGTCCCGTGCGACAAGCCGAGCGACATGCTGGCGAAAGATATTCGCTGGATGCATCAGATGCTTTCGCTCGCCGAAATGGTCATGAAGGTGTGTATGCGAGTAACGCCTCGCGGTAACCCGAGAAAGAAAACTGTTAAACGTCTGGAAAACCTAAAAGTGGTCGTGAAGTGAGTTTACCTGTCTGCTCCTGCTGTATGGCTGTATGCATCTGCTATCTCTCCGTTTCTCTTCAACCAAAGCACCGGCAACAAGCCATGGGCTGCCGCTGGTGCTCCTGTCCCCGTGTGATGCTTCTTTGTCTCTCCCCTCTCACTCCCTCCGTTTCGTTCTCTCGCCGTCTCCCCCTGTTTCGTTACCCGAGGCAGCTCGACAAGCCATGGCTGCCGCTGCTGCTCCTCTCCCCGTGCCGCCCGCCGCCGAATCTCTTCCACTGCAGCCGATTGGTGCGCAACGAGGGCCCCGTATGGCTCTTCAACGTCTCCGCAGCTGACGTGGCACCGAGAATACAGCCGCTCGGGTCGTGCGGCATGGCACAGCCAATCAAAGGAGGTAAGCGGCATGGGGTGGCGCAGCCAATCAGAGGAGGTCAGCAGCTGGTTGCGCGCCGAGCATAAGCGGAGTGCTCAGCATAGCAGGCTGTGAACTTGGTTCGACTTCTTGAGGTAACCATGGCTTCCCTTCTAATTCCAAACCTCCCATCCCCATAATCAACCCCACCCCATCCCGTGCCCCACTTGCTCATCTTTCGCGCCCCAAACCTCAAGGGACCCCGACCCGCCTGCACAGCCTCCATCAGCCGACCCCCCCCTTCCCCACACCTTCTCCCCCACACCTTCTCCCCCAACCCCCCCCCCCCCCCTCTTTTCCCTCCCTTCTCTCCCCCACCTGTCCTTCCTCCTCCCCCCTACCAGACCCGCCTGCCGTTGGCACTGTTGCCTTTCCTACTGTCCTCCATACCACGGAGTCCTGCGTGTGGCGCACGCCGCACCAGCACACGCAGCAAGATGGCGCTGTTGCCTTTCCTACTGTCCTCTCCTCCGTACCACGAGAGTCCTGCGTGTGGCGCACCAACGCGCTGGCGCACAGGACTCGGCGCCTCTCCTCTCACTCTTCTCCCTCCCCTCCTCTCCCCCCTTTCTCTTGCCACATCCTCCTGCGATCGGCACCGTTGCCTACGCCACAGTAATCCACACCACGCAGTCATACGCGTGCGGCGTGATCGTGCTGGCGCACAGCATTCGGCGCCTCTCCTCTCACTCTTCTCCCTCCCCTTCTCCCCCCACTCCCCCCCCCCCTTTACCCCCCCCCCCCCCCTGCCAGATCCTCCAGCAATTGGTACAGTGGCGTACGCCACAGTGCTGCATACCACGGAGTCGTATGTGTGCGGCGCGATGGTGCTGGCGCACAGCATTCGGCGCAGCGGCAGCCAGCACGACATGGTGGTGCTCGTGTCGCCCGAGATCAGCAACCGCAGCCGCGACGCGCTCCGGGAGGCCGGGTGGAAAGTCAAGGAGATCGAGAGGATCAGGAACCCGTTCGCTCGGAAGAGCACCTACAACGAGTGGAATTACAGGTATTTTTAATTATTGGGCGGCACATTTGTCCCTGTGCCCCTGTGCCCCTGTGTCCCCTAACGGTTCTGTCTCTCCTCTCTCTCTCTCTCTTGCTTCTGCGCCCAGCAACCTCCATCTCTAGCCGCTAACGGAGTGTTCCTCCTCGGTTATCTTCCTGGACGCAAGATTGCACTCCCTTATCGCCCATCTCTCTCCCCTCCCTTCCCTTTGCTTCCAGCAAGCGCCCCTGTGGCCACTACCCGAGTACTCGTCAGTCGCCAGTCATCTTGGTGGATGCAAGACGCCACTCCCTGAACGCCTCTCTCACTCTTGCACCCCCTCCCTTCCCTTTGCTTCCAGCAAGCTGCGCCTGTGGCCGCTACCAGAGTACTTTGCTGTGGTGTTCGTGATGCAGCAAGGCACTCTCCATAATGCCCATCTCTCTCTTCTCTCTCTCCCCTTCCTCTTCGCAGCAAGCTGCAGCTGAGTCAACTTACCGAGTACGCGTCGGTCATTGTGGATGCGGATCTGCTCGTGCTGCGCAATCTCCATGATGCCTATCTCTTTCTCTCTCCCCGTCTCCCCTTCTCCCTCTCCTCCTCGCAGCAAGCTGCGCCTGTGGCAGCTGACGGAGTACTCATCGGTCATCTTCGTGGACGCGGATCTGCTCGTGCTGCGCAATCTCGACCACCTCTTCGCCTTCCCCGACCTCTCAGCGCGCGGCAACGACCAGACCGACTTCAACTCCGGCCTCATGCTCATCCGCCCCTCCCAGTGCACCTTCCGGGAGCTCTTAGCCAACGCGCACACCATCCGATCGCCCAACGGCGGGGATCAGGGCTACCTGAATAATTACTTCACCTGGTGGCACCGCCTGCCTGACTCCGTCAACATCTTGAAGCACGTGTGGGCAACGGAAGAGACAAAGAGAGCCCAGGAGCTGGAGATGAAGAACCGGTGGTTCTCGGAGGAGCCGGCTGAGATCCATACGATCCACTACCTCGGACGCAAGCCCTGGCAGTGCTACCGCGACTTTGACTGCACGTGGCTGTACCCGCTCGACCATGCGTATGCGAACGAGGCGGCGCACCAGCGGTGGTGGAAGATGCATGATTCTATGCCGGAGAATTTGCACCAGTATTGCGGGTTGCGGAATCTGCACAAGGCGGAGATTGAGTTCCGCATGCGGAAGCTGAAAGCGCAGGGTGCGCCACCGGCGTTTTGGGATTTCGAGGTGAAGGATCCAAGGAAGGAGGAGTGTATGCCGGACCAGATCTCATGTGACTGGATGGATTATTTGAACCACTGGAAGGACGAAGAGACGTGATAGGGTTAAGAGTGTAACATCCCTCGTCCTCCCGCCCCCCTCTCGTCGTCCCCCAAACCCCCCATCCCCTCCCCTCTTTTCCCCGTCCCCCCTTGCCCCTTGAACTTACCATTTTGTAAATATGGGTGCCATAATGCCATTGGTGCAAAAGAAGCGTTATCCAATCAACACAAGATGGTCACCGCCTCTTGCAGTGTCAGATTGTAAGAAAAAAAAAACATTTTTGAATGAAGACGCTTGGGGGAACGCTGTTCATAATTTTTGTGTTTTTCGCATATGTTAACGCATTTCTGTATATTTGTCCTACCGATTAGGGTGAAGTGGTTTATACATTTATACTGGGAAACGAGGATCATTCTGCTGGTCAGTTTGATGCGATTGGTCAGCCATGCTGGCTGCCATTCCCGCGATTCTCGAAGCAGGCCTTCCCTCACGCACCCACCACCACCAACCATCGTAGTCAACACCACCACCCCACCACCATCCGCCTTGGGAACTTCCCAGCTTGCGGCCTGGCAGACTCTTCGCGAATTGTTTCGCCATTCGTCGCAACGGAGGTTGTTGCTATGTCGGCTGCTTTCTACGACTCTTCAGAGCTTCGCACAATATCGCTTTCGAGAGGCTTTTCTGTCGCACAGCTGTCCCCTGGTCGCACAATTCCACCACAGCCACAATTCTCGTTCTTCCAGATCTCCAGCAGGAATGCGCTCCTACCAGCAGTACGACTTTCTGGGCTGGCGGTAAATTCAAGGAGCTTCAAATTAGTACCTTGGGAATTGGTCACTGCCTTCTCTTTCCATAGTTGCTGATCTTGCCAACATTGAATCCCTCACAGCAGATCGGCGACAATGGTGCGTGCTCTACTTCAAGTTGCTGCTCTGAATGGGAGGAAGGCATGTTTTTTTGTGTAAGTTCTGTCTCTCCTCACTAACACATTGCGTCCCCCGCGTTTCCTTTTTTCAGGGTAGAAAACTGTGGTGCCTTTTCGTGATCGCGCTCCTACTATGTGCGTCTATCCATGGCGCCGATGCGAAGAAGAAGAAGAAGGTAGTGGTGGAGGAGGAGGAGGCAGCCGATGAGGGAAAGACCGTCGCAGAGCAGAGCGAAGAGGGTGACGCAGAGGAGAAAACGACCACTAAGTCCTCTACAGCAGACTCCGAGGCTTCAGAAGATGAAGAGGTAGAGCCGCCGGCGAAATCCTCCAAGTCTTTGAAGAAACCCAGCAAGGTCGCTAAGAAGGCGGAGGAGGACGAGGGGGAGGAAAAGGAGGAATCGGCGGACGCCGACGAAGCCGATGCCGCTCCTGCGAAAAAGGCGAAGGCTGCGAAGAAAGCGAGCGATGACGAAGAGGAGGAAGCGGACGCTGCGCCGGCAGCTAAGAAGAATGCTGTAGGGGAAGACGAGGACGCTTCTGCGGATAAGGAAGACGAGGAGGAGGCTCCTGCAACGAAGAAAAAGTCAGCAGCAGCAGATAAGGACAAGGACGAGGAAGGTGGGGACGACGAAGCAGCTGAAGAGGATAAGCCTAGCAAGAGCGCAGTAGCTAAAGCCAGCGCTAAGGAAGAGGAATCGGGGGATGAGGAAGAAGCCGCGAGCGAGAAAGTCACGGCGACTAAAGCCGATGACGACGAGTCCGCTGATGCGAAGGTTGACAAGGCGGAGACTAAGGCCGGCCAGGTAGCTGTTTCTAAGGAGCCGCCTCAGCAGTCGTCGGCGACGGAGTCGCCTAAGGTTCCGGCTACTGCGTGGAAGTCGAAGAATCAGACGCGCGACGACATCGATCCACAAGGTTCGCAATCGAGTTTACGTAGACGCGAACAGATCGATCTCGACCGTTAGGTTTTGCAAGATCGTAAGGGCTGTCATTCGAGATGTTGCCTTCAGAAGCTCCATCCGGCGATTGATCTGTGCGATTTCAGGTGCATGCAAGCGGGACATCAAGCTCCACTGCCAGGGCATTTCGCCCGGCGAGGCTCAGCTATCGCTCTGCCTCGTCTTCCACATCAAGAACGAGAAGGCCGGCAACGAAGTCGCCAGTAAGCCGGGGTTGAGCCCCATTTTTTTAAATACAACAGTCGTTATTGCGATTTTGAACCGCTCTTGTGAAACTGAGCCAGTTCTTCGGTATCCGAGCGGCGTTCCGCTGTAATGTCCTTCGTATGCCTGACCCGAACCCCCTTATCACCTTGCAACTTGCGTTGTCCAGCCATTGCTGTGTCCAAGAAGTGCAGAGCGGAGATTCGCCAATTCCGATCGGACATGTACAGAGACCTCTCCATGGACAAGGCCATGGGTGCGTTATGCGTAATGCGTACTGCCGATCAATCCTTCTCTTGCACGTGAAATGGGTCAAAATTAACGGGTCTATGGCCGCTGCGTCCCTTTTCCACGACACCGTTTTACCCAACTTTTGCCAGTCTTTTTGCGTTTCCTGACTGGTTCCAACTTCCAAGCCCTGCCGTGTCGTCCTGATGGCTTGCACTTGGGTTGTACGTTTTCGTTTGCCTCGCAGCAACGGCGTGCAAGGCGGACATCACCAAGTTCTGCGACGACGACTTCCTCTATCCGGAGCCTGGCAACATCATCGCATGCCTCAGGTACGCCAAGGCGCATGCACTGAAACGGATGCTTTCCTCAACATTTCAAAACATCATATCCTGACTGTCCCACCCGTGAGCAAACATGGTAGTCAAATGGAAAAAAGAAGATAAAATAAAGAAAAAGAAAAGAACGGTATTTCTGGTGTTCTCGTTGTTTTCCAGGGAGGTGAAGCAGGTGGAGAAGCTGCTGGACGCGTGTCTGGCACAGGTGCTGCGGCAACTTTTTATAGTCGACTTAAACCAAATGTGCTGTGTGGGAATGCCTTTCAGGGAGGTGAAGCAGGTGGAGAAGCTGCAGGACGCGTGTCTGGCGGAGGTGCTGCGGCACCAGATGGAGGCGGCGGACGACTTCGTCATGGACCCGCAGCTGCGCGAGCTCTGCAGCGGCGAGGCGGACCGCCTCTGCAAGGGCGTGGAGCCGGGCGAAGGCCGCGTGCAGAACTGCCTGGTTAGTGGGGGGAAGGGAAGGGGCAGGGCAGGTGGGGACTCCGCATGCAAGGGCCTGGAGCCCGGCGAAGGCGGCGAGCAATTGCCTGGTCAGTGGGATAAGACGTGCCAGGGCAGGGGACGACTCGGTCTGAGTTGATTGATCACGGTTTTTTTGCGAGGGCAGGGAGGGTGGGTTGGTGGCGGGGCGGGGGGGTTATGAGGGATGATGCCGTGTCTGGCGGAGGTGGTGCGGCACAGTGGCACCAGGCGGAAGTGAAGGGCCGCCTCTGCATGCGAGGGCGTGGAGCCAGGCGGAGGCCGCGTGCAGAATTGCCTGGTCAGTGGGATCTGCAGGGGGGTTACTTTTGAGTTGACTCAAAAGTCAGTGGGATCTGCAGGGGGGTTACTTTTGAGTTGACTCAAAAGTCAGTGGGATATGCAGGGGGTTACTTTTGAGTTGACTCAAAAGTCAGTGGGAGCTGCAGGGGGTTATTTTCCCCGGCTTTGGCGTTCTGGAGCGAAATCGGACGACTGAGTTGGTGTTGACTGTGGGATGTGGTGTGGTTGGATGGTCGTGTGGTGGGATGTGGTGTAACTGCTGATTGGTGTTAATCGTGCAATGTGGTGTGGTTGTGATGTGGCGTGGTTGGGATGGGTGCAGAGGGAGCACCGCACGAAGCTGGCGTGGGATTGCCAGGCAGAGCTGTTTAGGCAGGAGGTGGAGAACGCCGACGATATCCGCCTCAATGTCAGGCTCTTCCAGGGTATGTTATGTTGGAAGGTGGAGATATGTCATCCCACCACCCATACCCAACCAACTGCCTCCTCCCCTCCCCCCCTCCCCTCCCCCTTTCCCAACACACGTGCACGCATGCAAACACAACGCACGTATGCGCAGCATTCACCTGAACGTACACTCACTCATTTAAACGCAATGCATACAGTTATGTGCTCTTGCGTAGCCACAATTACGTGCACCTGCATGCATGCACGCACAGATGCACGCGCTTACACGATGATTTGAATAATCCAGTAGGTGCTCCTGTCCCTGTTTCTTCTGGCCCTCCGGTTTGTGCTGTTTTTTCTCTTGTGCTGTCTCCCCATTGTTGCCCGTCTCCCTCTATACGCCTCTCTCCCCTCCCCACGTGCGCAGCCTGCCTGAACGACCAGCGCAAGTTCTGTGCGGATGTCAAGTATGGCGACGCGCGTGTGAAGGACTGCCTGGAGGACCATCGCCTGGACGCCGAGTTCTCCCCTGGCTGGTATGGCGGGTTTTTTCCCCGGCTAGTACGCATTCTTTAGATGGGGGTGTATGCTTGAATGCTTGAACAACCAGCACTAGAAATGTGCGGATGTGAAGTATGGTATGGGGATGCACGTGTGAAGGACTGCCTCGAGGAGGGCCATCCCCTCAACGCTGAGGTCTCCCCTGGCTGGTTCGCATCAAGCGCAAGTGGTGCATGCGTTTGCAGCGTGATCAGGACATCATATATCCCTCATGTGTAGGCCTTCAATTTAAAGCTTGATTAATATCCGACTGGAAACGTTTGGAAGCATCTGTGGTGTGGAGAGTTGTTTCCTCCCTTGTGTTGATTCGTCCTCTAACCCCTGCTGCCCCACGTGCCCCGTTTCCAGCAAGACGGAGTTTGAGAAGATGATGGCTCGGAGGGCCACCGACTTCAGGCTGGATTCCCGCCTCCGCAAGTACTGCAAGGCGGACATTGCTGAGGTGCGTGCAAGGCGGACATTGCAGAGGTGCGTGCAAAGGGGCCGTTGCAGTAGGTGCGTGCCTAGATTGCGACCACATTCCTCCTTCTCAGTGGTTACTGCAATGCGGACATTTCAGAGTTGTGTGTGGCATGTACTGCAACGGGGAGGGTGCAGGGCGGGTGACTAGGCTGCCGCCATTCCACATTCCCTTGCCCTCCTGACGTGTGCGCATGCCCACCTCAACCACAACCAAATTCCCCTTCCTGGTGCAACGACTGCAAGACACACAATGCAGCGATGGCTGCAGCAAACAGTCCAAGCCACTACAGGACGAGCTCAAAGACTCAACTGCCTTGAAAAGCCTCAAAACCCTGCTCTTCACTCCCTCCCTTCTCCACGCACTTCCGGCAGATCTGCTACCCCGACGCAGAGGACATATCAGATGTCGCCAACTACGACGCCAAGGTGATCCAGTGCCTGCAGGACTACCGCGACGAGCTCAAAGACCCCAAGTGCAAGGCGCAGGTGCACAAGCTCACTGAGAGGGAGATCGACATCCGCTTCAACAAGCCCCTCGCCGACGCCTGCCAAGGTCAGTGATTCCGGCGCCTAAGACTCATCCCATGTGCACTAGCTGGCAGAAAGGGTGTAGACAAACCCCCAAAGGCATTCCTCTCAGATGCCTGCCAGGTTCAGTGTTCACGGCGCCTCAAGATCAGCGCTGGTGCACACGCTGCAACAAGGGAGATCAACATCCGCTTCAATGTGCTCATCGCAGACACCTGCCGAGTTGAGTGTTGTTTGGAGCTCTCCTCGACTCCCTCCCCCTGCTCCCTGACCCCTTTTGCCGTCCAGTTGCATAAACCAAGCTTCTTGCTCACATATTTTTGCCACCACATCCCCATCACAAGCAGCTCTGATCGCACGGCGGTGTGCAAGGACCTATCCGGATGGGCAGGCGTCGGTGTTTATGTGTCTGCTTGGATGCGCTTGAAACCACGTGCCATCAACCATTTTATTACATGTCCCCCCCCCACCCCCCCCCCCCCCGGCAACCAGCTGACCGCACGACGGTGTGCAAGGATGCACCGGACGGGCAGGCGTCAGTGTTCATGTGTCTGCAGGACCACATGGCGCAGCTCAAGGAGGCCTGCCGCAACTCTGTCTTCGAGCAGGTGAGCCCGTTTGTTTTCAGACAGGTAGCCCATATGTCTTCGAACAGGTGAACCCGTGCCAACAGCTGACCAGCAGGACCACATGGTTCAGCTCAAGGAGGCCTGCCGCAACTCCGTCTTTGAGCAGGTGAGGAGGAGCCACATGCGCGAGATCAGCAGGTACTGTAGCTCACATCTCCAGCAAACAACAGACCAGCAGGACCACATGGCGCAGCTCTAGGAGGCCTGCCGCAACTCCGTCTTCAAATATGTAAGTTCGTGCCTCATGTCCTAAGCCCCAACATCAGAACGGCACCACATGATGCAGCACCACTTCAGGTTATATCCATCCACGTCCCCCTCACCCTTTCCTCACCTCACCTCACCCCACCCCACCCCACCCCACACCACCCCACCCCACACCACCCCACACCACCCCACACCACACCACCAGCTTCTGCTCGACTTATATCCATCCACCTCTTTCTCACCCTTTTCTCACCCCTACCCACCCCACCCCACCCCACACTGTCAGCTCGTGTGCATGGCAGGGGACATCGGCTCCAAGTTGAGCTTGTTCCTCTCTCTACTGCCCCTTTACTCTCTCCCCTTCCCCCCCCTCCCCTCCCTCCCCCGTTCTTGCAGCTCGTGTGCATTGCAAAGGACATCGACTTCAAGTTGAACTTATCCCCCTCTTCATTGCCCCTTTACACTCTCCCCTCCCCCGTTCTTGCAGCTGGTGCGCATGGCGGAGGACATCGACTTCAAGTTGAACTTATCCCCCTCTCCATTGCCCCTTTACACTCTCCCCTCCCCCGTTCTTGCAGCTGGTGCGCATGGCGGAGGACATCGACTTCAAGTTCCCCATGAAGAAGGCGTGCCAGAGCGAGCTCAACAAGTTCTGCAAGGAGGTGCCCCACGGTGAGCGCTGCTCCAACTCATGGTGAGTTAGGCCGAGCCGTTTTCAAGAAGGTGACACTTGTTGAGCCGTTTTCAATGGACCACTCTATCATCCACTCCTTTCTCCCTCATACCCGAAATCATCATTGTTCTTATCCCACCGCTACCCATCCTGCATCAAGCAGGACCCAGCAAACCTAAGGGGGTGTTAAAAGTTGTGAAAACCTTAACGTTCTGACGTGTCCGATCGCTGGTGCAGTACGGTGCTAGCGTTATTCGGACGGTACAAAACCGTTTTGAGTTCAGTAACCTGACATGTCAAGGCTTCCCGTCGTTCGTTTAACACCCCATTAAATTCCGTATGATCCCCCTTCCCCTGCCTACCTCCGTCCCTTCCTCCCTCCCTCCCTCCCTCCCTCCCTCCCTCCCTCCCTCTCTCCCGTCCCGTGCACCCTCTTTCCCTCACACCCTCTTTCCCTCACACCCTCTTTTCCTCACACCCTCTTTCCCTCACACCCTCTTGCCCTCACCCTCTTTCCCTCACACCCCCCCTCCGTCCCTATCGCCTGTGTGTCCACCTTTCTCATCGTCCTCTCGCATCAGGCCATGCGTCGCGCATCAAGTGCCTGCAGGATCGCATTGACGACGCGGACTTTGGCGAGGCGTGCCGCAAGGAGGTGCAATCAGACCTCGTGCGATCGGCTCAAGGTACAAACTGGAAGACGTTCACAAATCCACACCGTGCCCAGCAGTAGTCTGCCACGTTTTTTAGGCGCCTCAAAATTTAGATACCTCTTCTTCCAGCTGTGCCTCTCGATTGCCTCTTAACCACCCCCACCCCCCCCCCCACCTTCCTCCAACAGTCCCCCAAACTACTGTCCTAACCACTTCCCGCACAAGCTGTGTCTGCCCGTCATCTAGAAGCAGTGCATGCACGCATGCGACACAGCTTCCCTGACTCCATGCACCCTTCCCTTCCCCTGCTTCAACCTCCCCTTTCCCTCACCACTCTCCCCATACGACCACCTGAACTACTGCCTGCACAAGGCGAGTCTGCCGGACATCCGCAGGCAATGCATGCACGCATGTGACGCCACTGCCCTTGCCCCATGCTCCCTCCCCTTCGCTCCGTCCTCTCCCGCTCCCCCCCAGACTACCGCCTGAACTACCGCCTGCACAAGGCGTGTCTCCCCGACATCCAGAAGCAGTGCATGCACGCATGCGACGCAGCCTCCGCCAACGGCACAGCCACGTGCGGCGGCATGGTGCTCAAGTGCCTGCAGGAGAAGAAAGACAAGCTCGAATCCCCCTCGTGCGCCAAGGAGGTGGAGTCCTTCAGCCTGATCGAGGCCAAGGACCCGCTGTCCTTCGACGTGCCGCTGCAGACTGCGTGCAAGCCCGACCTCATCAAGCTGTGCCCGGACGTGAGCCGCGACCACGCGCGCACGCTCTCGTGCCTGAGGACCAAGCGGGAGAAGCTGTCCACCCCGTGCCGTGAGGAGGAGATGCGCTTTAGCATCATGGAGGTACGTGTGATGTTTGGGTAATGTGGAGCTACCCCCTCCCTCCTCCCGCTCTCCCTCTTCCTCTCGTGCCTGCGCACCAAGCTGTGCAGGCCGTGCCGCGAGGAGGAGATGCGCTTCAGCATCATGGAGGTACGTGTGATATAGGGGTTATGTAGTTTCTTGGAACCTTACCGTTTCATCTCGTGTTCCCCTCCCCCCTTAACTCTCCCTTGTCGTTCCTCCCGCCCTCTCAGTCCCATTATTGGCCTTCGCCTCTCTTTTCCCTGATTTCCCTCCTCCTTACCCCCCCCCCCCCCCCCCCCCCCCCCCCCTCCTCCCCCCGCGCGCCTCCCTTTTCCATGGCTTTCCCTTTCCCTCTCATTCCGTGTCCCTTCCCTCTCCTCCTGTCGCCTTCCCCTTCCCTGCCCCTGTTCCCTGCCCCTGCTGCTTCCCTGCTCCCTGCTCTCTGCTCCCTGCTCCCTGCTCCCTGCTGCCTGCTGCAGGCGTCGGACATTCGCCTCACACCGTCCCTCATGAACGCCTGTGGCCAAGGTATGCCTACCCGAAGGCTCTCATGGTCCTCCCCAAGGGCTTCCATTGACCCCCTTTTAGGGTTCGCCTGGACTGTGCGAAGGATCATAGCAATTCGGAGGCCGGTCCCTCCCCTCCTCAACTGTGCTCGCATGCTCTGGTCGCTGCATCAAGTGCACGCCAAGCCATATGTTACCCGCTTTCCTCCTCCTCTCTTGCCCCTGGGCCCATCTGCCTCCAATCCCGCCTCCATCTCCCTCCCCCCTCCTCCTCACCCTCCCCTCCTGCAGAATCCCGCTCTCTTCTCCCTTGTCACCCCCCATCACAGCTCCAGAGCCTGTGCCGCGACACACTGCCCACGGAGGGGCAGGCGTTCAAGTGTCTGCAGGAGCACCTGGAGGACGTGGGCATGGTCGCGGCGTGTAAGGGCGAGGAGCTTCGTTGGTGGTCTCCTCACACCTCCCTTCTCTTCTCTTGTCCTCCATTTCCACCCTGCGTCCTTCCCCCTGGCCCCCTCCACCCCTCTTCCCCCCCACTCCGCTACCACCCCGCTACCACCCCGCTACCACCCCGCTACCACCCCGCTACCACCCCGCTACCACCCCGCTACCACCCCGCTACCACCCCGCTACCACCCCGCTACCACCCCGCTACCACCCCGCTACCACCCCGCTACCACCCCGCTACCACCCCGCTACCACCCCGCTACCACCCCGCTACCACCCCGCTACCACCCCGCTACCACCCCGCTACCACCCCGCTACCACCCCGCTACCACCCCGCTACCACCCCGCTACCACCCCGCTACCACCCCGCTACCACCCCGCTACCACCCCGCTACCACCCCGCTACCACCCCGCTACCACCCGCTACCACCCCGCTACCACCCCGCTACCACCCCGCTACCACCCCGCTACCACCCCGCTACCACCCCGCTACCACCCCGCTACCACCCCGCTACCACCCCGCTACCACCCCCTCCTGCACCCTCCCACACACACACCTTCTCACCCAACAGAGCTCCAGAGCCTGTGTCGCGACGCGCCCCCCACGGAGGGCCAGGCGTTCAAGTGTCTGCAGGAGCACCTGGAGGACGTGGGCATGGGCGCGGCGTGCAAGGGCGAGGTCAACCTGCAGGAGGCGCGCCACGCCTCCAACTACCGCCTGGACGTGCGAGTCCGCACGGAGTGCGAGGAGGACGTGACCAAGTACTGCAACGGCGTGGACGCCGGGCAGGAGGGGCATGCGCTGGTGTTGAAGTGCATGGTCGGGAGCTTCAAGAGCCTCTCCTCCTCCTGCCAGTCCGAGGTGCGTCCCTCCTTGGGTGTGGACTGGGACAGAAGGTGTGGTTCTAGGAGGGTGGTGGTGGTGCGGGTTGAGTGCATGGCACACGCTCAATCCAAACGACCCCCTGGACGTGCGCAAGGAGTGCGAGTAGGATGTGACCAAGTACTGCAACGGCGTGGACGTGGGGCAGGAGGGGCATGCGCTTGTGTTGAAGTGCATGGTGGGGAGCTTCAAGAGCCTACCCTCCTCCTGCCAGTCCGAGGTGCGTCCTTATCTGTGCGCTCCACGCACACCTCCCCAACTACCTCCTGCGCGTACATATGTGCTTCCCCCCCTCCCCCACTCTCCCTTCTTCCCAGGTGTCCTACGCAGTGCGCATGGCTCTCTTACAGCACCACCACAAGGGTGCAGAGCTCACCCAGCCATGCGCTACTGCCCCAGAAGGTCCACTCCCCCCACTGTCCCTCACTTCAGCTCTGTTCGCCCTGCGCCTCAAAACAAAACTAGTTTTGAGGCGCCTCAAAACAAAACTAGTTTTGAGGCGCCTCAAAACCAGAAGGTCCACTCCCCCCACTGTCCCTCACTTCAGCTCTGTTCGCCCTGCCTTCCCCTTTTGTCCTACGCAGTGCGCATGGCTGGTTAAAGAGAGTCTCGGATCCGCCATCGGCGCGTACGGGCAGTACCTCGTGTGGCAGAAACAGGGGTTCTCCCCAAACCCTTTCCCCAACCCCGTCTCCTTCCCTCGCCTCGTCCGTCCCGCTTCCCTCCAGGTGTCCTATGCAGTGCGCATGGCCCTCTTCCAGTACCACAAGGGCGCGGAGCTCACCCAGCCGTGTGACCAGGCAGTGGAGGAGCTCTGCAACACTGGCACGGCCGCCAGCACGCCCGTGAAGGAGATCAACGGTGCGGTGATCGGCGTGTATGGGCAGTGCCTCGTCTCGCAGAAGAGGAACAGGCTGCCTGAGGACTGCCGCACGCTGGTGAAGCTGGTGGCCAAGGAAGGCGCGTATGTGGGCGGCACGATCGACCAGAACAAGCTGGAAGAGACACTCGCCAAACTGAAAGAGGTGAGCCTTGAGTGGGGCATGGCTGCCAGATGTAAGGTAGCTAGCTCCTCCCCGAGGCTGTTGTGGGGGGGTTGTGGTCGCGGTTGTGCGTCACGACACCGGGCTGGTCATTTTCGGGTGGCTCGCAGCAGCTGCTCTGGCCGCTGTGGTTGTTGTGTCCATCAGCCCTTGATTGTGCCCTTTGCTAAGCACCACCACCACCCTCCGTCCTGCTGTCTCCCTTCCGGTGTGCGTGCCCCACCTCCAACCACTTACCTCCCTCTCAAAGCAGCTCCAGGAGGCAGCAGCGACAACAGCAGACGGGGGGAGGATGGTGGTGCGTCATGACTCATGACTAAGGCTGGACATTTCCGAGTGGCTCATAGCAGCTGCTCTGGCTGCCGTGGCCAATGGTCCAACCGACCACCCTTATCTGTGCCATTTACTCAACACCAACACCACCCTCCCTCCTGCTGTCTCCCTGTGTGTCCACGCCCCCACCCCCACCCCCAACCACTTACCTCCCTCTCAAATCAGCTCCAGGAGGCAGCAGCAACAACAGCAGACGGGGGCAGGATTGCTAACGTCGCGTTTGTTCCAAAACAAGCAACATTTTCCCACCCTTTCCCTGTCCCTAACCACCCTCTTCTCTCTCAAAGCAGCTCCAGGAGGCGGCAGCGACAACAGCAGCCGGGGGGAGGATGGTTGTTCCAAACAAGCAACATTTCCCCACCCTCTCCTTTCCCCATCCACCCCCTTCCCTCTCAAAGCAGCTGCAGGAGGCGGCAGCGACAACAGCAGGCGGGGGTGGGATGGTGGTGCGCCACGACACCGGGCTCGTCATTTCCGGGTGGCTCGCAGCTGCTGCTCTGGCCGCTGTGGTGGTTGTCTCGATCGCCATTGGCTGTGCTGTTTACTACAAGTACTTCAGCCCAACACGCAACTACACCCTTGTGGTTAAGTCCGCTCCTGGTGCCACTGGGGTGTAGGTACTTCCGAGGCGCATCCATACCCATAGCTCTGGTTTACAAACGCCCATGGCCATGCCGTTTACCACAAGTATTTCAGCCCCACATCCATTGCAAGGTACCCTGGTGGTCCAGTCTGCTCCTGGTGCTGTTGGGGGGAGTTTGAGGTGCATTGAAAGCATCTGCTATGAAGTAAAATAGTATTTTAGTCAGGTGCACAACATACTACTAAGTGCTGAGCTGATAGGTGCTGTATTGTAGTTCAGTCTGCTCCCCAATGTGAAGACCTCCTCAAAGCCCTCTGAAAGGGAAGAGAATGCTGCTTGTGTTTGTTGTGTTTTCACTAACACTTATTATGGAGTGTAGCTTCTGTTCATGTCAATGCATTCCTCCAAACCGTGCACATCTCAGAGGTAGAGTTCGATGAAAGGCATTGCAATCTTTCGCGAGTACCACAGGCGGTACAGCGGTGTGATGCACCATAGGTATGCGTCGGAATAACAAACATCAGCAGACAATACAGTACAAAGCCTTTGTACCAAGTACCTACCGTGTAACTACGGGGTCTCGGAATTGGAGCCATTCAGCGGAATTATTTCTCCAGCCTTCGTTGCCTTCTCCCAGAGCTCCTCAAACTCATCATAGCCCGCATCACCACCAGCAGCAGTAGTGGAGGAGAACGGCCCAACTGGATCCCTCCACTCACAGCCAACACCAACATCCCCCTCATGGCTCGGAGAGACTCCATGACTCTGGCTTCTTGCACTTGCACTGGCACTGTCGTTGTCATCCCACTCGCCCTCGCGCCCACTGTCGCCGCTGCTGCTGCCATCCCTCCTGCCCCCTCCCTCCACTCCCCATCTCTCCTCACCAGCCAACTCATCTCCATCACTCCAATCCCCCCCATTCATGTAACCACCTTCTTCCTCCTCCTCCCCTTCCTCCCCACCCACCACCATCATCCCATCCGCATCCACCCGCACACTCACCTCCACCTCGCCCTCATCCTCCACATCAAACCGCCACAAACCCTCCCTCCCCCCCTCCTCTTCACCGTCCATACCAGATCCCCTGCCCCTCCCTGATGCCACCAACCCCGCTGCACTCACTCCTACTGCATTTTCTGCTGCTGCTGCTGCTGCTCCAGCAGTGGTTCCTACCACCGCTGGTAGTGGCTGTGTGGCAGCATCCGCCGAATCAACAACCGCTTGGCTTCCCATGCCGTTGGGGTTGCTGTCGCTGTCGGTGAAGGACGGGCCCAGGTTCGCTTCAGAGGAAGCTTCAAATGAAGCTTCGGGGGAAGCTTCAGAGGAAGGTTGTTGCGAGTCGGCCCCGCGCCACATAAGGATGTGCTCCTTGTCGAATGAGAGCAGGATACATGGCACCAGGTCCTGGTGGCAGCCGATCACGGCGAGGGGAGAGGAGGCAAGGCAATGAGAGCAGGACACATGGCAGCAGGTCCTGATGGCGACCGACCATGGGAACGGCGGTGGGAGGGGGGAAGGCATGGGGAGGAGGCAAGGGGCGTGAGGCAACTGGACTGAAGACCAAGCCCTCAGCGTAACAAGGCTTTGAATCACCACAACAGACGCTGTCCCAAACCACCAAACGCACCCTACAAGACCCCCCACTCACCCTCAGCTTGGCGCCGATCTTCTTGTAGTCGCTCTTGTTGAGCCCCCTGCAATCCACCCGCACCAGATCCGCCTCCTCAAACCCCGCTCTCACCACGCCCACCAGCCGGTGGTACACCCCGTTCTTGGCTGGGGGGAGAGGGGTGGGGACAAGGGGGAAGACAACCGGTGAAGGGGAGAGGAAGGGGTCGGCAGCACATGCCCTCACTCACCATGCCTATCAGCCGGTGGTACACCATGCCTACCAGCCGGTGGTACACCCCGTTCTTGGCTGCAACAAGGGGGGGCGGGGGAGGAGAGAGACCAGCAAAGGTGAACAGATGGGGGGAATGCACAGCGCCCTCACCACACCCACCAGCCGGTGACAAGGAGGGAGACGGTTCTGGTCCTCGCCTCGTCGGCCAGCCAATGGTTCTCCCACATGTGAGTGTGAGTGAGAGTATGTGAGAGTATGTGCGTGCGTGTGTGCGTGCGTGTGCATGTGTGCGTGCGTGTGTGTGCGTGTGCGTGTGTGCATGTGCGCATGTGTGTGTGTGTGTGTGTGTGTGTGTGTGTGTGTGTGTGTGTGTGTGTGTGTGTGTGCGCGTGTGTGTGTGTATGTGTGCGTGCGCATGCGTGTGTGCGTGTGTGTGTGCGTGCGTGCGTGTGCATGTGTGTGTGTGTGTGTGCGTGTGCGTGTGTGCGCGCGCGCGTACATAGATTGCACAGTTTGATCTTCCTCCCAATACGCCTCATCTCTTGGGCCTGCCTCAGAGTGAGCCCCCCAGGGGCGTCTTGCAGGAGCTTCGGGTAGATGGGCGCAGGTGGTTTCGACAGCACACATGTGTGCTTTGCATGCGTGTATGCGCATGTGTGCACGTACCCAGCTTGCACAGCGGCTTGATCTTCCTGCCAATGCGTCGCATCTCCTGCGCCTGCCGCAGAGTGAGCCCTCCAGGGGCGTCTTGCACGAGCTTCGGGTAGATGGGCGCAGGGGGCTTCCACAGCATGAGCGGCAGGCGCGGCCGCAGGCGGTAGTTGTAGTTTCGGCCACGGAAAACGTACAGGGTGCCGCCCTGGCGCTTGATGATCCTCCCCCCTGTCTTGTCCTGCTTGGAACATTGGGGTATGCAAAAACAGGGGGCAGCATGAGGGGCAAGCGCCGCCGAAGGCAGTCGTTGTAGTGCCGCCCCCGGAACATGTACAGGGTGCCGCCCTGGCGCTTGATTATGCGCCTGCCTGTCTTGTCCTGCTTGGATGGGTGGGGTGGGGTGGGGTGGGGTGGGGTGGGGGGCACAGGGGAAATGCGGAGAAAAGTGAGCATGAGGGGCAGGTGCCGCCACAGGCAGTAGTTGTAGTGCCGCCCACGAAACACGTACAGGGTGCTGCCCTGCCTCTTTATAATCCTGCCTCCTGTCTTGTCCTGCTTGGACGGGTGGGTTGCTGTGGTGTGCACCAGAACAGAGAGCAAGCCTTGGTGGCCATGAGGGCGTGAGGGCATGAGGGCATGAGGGCATGAGGGCATGAGGGCATGAGAGGCATGAGGGCATGAGAGGCATGAGGGCATGAGGGCATGAGGGCATGAGGGCATGAGGGCATGAGGGCATGAGGGCATGAGGGCATGAGCGGCAGGCACGGCCGAAGGCGGTAGTTGTAGTGGCGCATGCAGAATACATAGGGAGTGCCGCCTTGGCGCTTGATGATCCTCCCCTCTGTCTTGTCCTGCTTGGATTTGAAAGCAAGACAGGGAGGGACGAGAGGCATTAGTTGTAGTCTTTGCTGCGCGCTTTGGAACACATAGAGCATACCATACCATGGTGCTTCCTCCTCCTATAAAGTACACTCAAATCTCCAGCTGTACCTCTATTCCGACCATACCCACCATACCCACAGACTAAGCCATACCCACCATACCGACATACCCACCATACCGACATACCCACCATACCGACATACCCACCATACCGACATACCCACCATACCCACAGACTAAGCCATACCCCAACACCCAGAGTGCACCATGAGCCATCCCACTCAGGCACTCTGATGCATGCTTATATCAGCCGCGCATCACCGAGCATGCATCCACCGCACGCCACGTGTTGTCCATGTCAACAGTGGGCACGCCCTTGCACACGTCCATGTCAACAGTGGGCACGCCCTTGCACTTCACCTTCACGCACACGCGACCGTCGGCCGCCCAGATTCCAACAGGCTGCAATGGGTTTTTGAGAATTCCAAAAAACCAACAGAGTACAGCGTATCCATTGTTCCAATAGCCGTGCCTCAAAGCAATCAACCAACGCACCTCCACCACGCGGCAAACGTTGCCCATGTCACCAGTCGGCACGCCCTCGCACTTTCTCTTCCACGCATGACCATTCATCCACATCCCAGCGATGCAACCTTGAATGAGCATGCAGCCCCATGTCTACTACGGACGCACCTCCACCACTTGGCACACGTTATCCATGTCGACAGTAGGCACGCCCTTGCACTTGACCTTCACGCACCGCCGCCGCTTCCAGTGCGTGTGGATGAGCTCCAGCATGTTGTGGATCAGCCCGTCCCTGCCTGAGGGTGGGTGGGGGAGGGGAGGCAAGGGATGTGAAGACCTAGCTCACACGTTACAGGCAGCTCACACGTTACAGGCAGCTCACACGTTACAGGCAGCTCACACGTTACATCACCTTCCAGTGCGTGTGAATGACCGCCAACATGTTCTAAATCAGCCCATCCCTGCGTGAAAGGCAGAAAATAGGGGGGAGGCGAGGAGCCAAGAGATATGAAGACCTAGCTCACACGTTACATCCGCTTCCAGTGCGTGTGGATGAGCTCCAGCATGTTGTGGATCAGCCCGTCCCTGCCTGAGAGTGGGGGGAAGAGGGGAGAGGCAGGGGGGTGCGGGGGGAAGAGGGGAAGGAGAGGATAGGATATGGCGACCTCACACACACACACACACACGCACATGCACACGCGCACACACGCACGCGCGCGCGCGCGCACACACACACACACACACAAAACCACCTTCCAGTGCGTGTGGACGAGCTCCAGCATGTTGTGGATCAAACCGTCTCTGCCTGGAGGGTTTGGTGTGTATGAACAAGGAGGACATTATCAAATGATAAATAATTCAATTGCTGTGGCACATTGGCTTCCACTGTGTGTGAATGAGGCCGTGTCGGTCTGGCGGATTTGGTGAGCGAAAACGCGGGGCGAGGGGGAAAGGGATGGGAAACTATTTTTGAGGCGCCTCACGCGGGGCGCCTCAAAAATAGACTCCTCACGCGGGGCGGGGGGGAAAGGGAGGGGAAACGATGTGAAGTGAAGGGGGGAGGTGGAGAGGGAAAGAGAGGCACCACAGCCCCCAGCTCCTATCTTCTCACCTAGGGTTCACCTGCCGCCTCCCCTTGTTGCGATCCATGACCATCTCTTCCACCTCCTCTCGAGTCAGCGGCGCTCTAAGTACCCATGAGCCAACCTCAGCACACCACACATCCACAGCAAACCAAACTTGATTGCAACCTTACCTAGGTTCACCTGCCGCCGCCCCTTGTTGCAATCCATCACCATCTCATCCACCTCCTCTCGTGTCAGCGGCGCCCCAAGCACCTCCTCCCTCGTCCGCACATACCGCGGCCCCTCCCCCTCCCCAAACGGCCCCGGCGGCTGCACCCCCTTCACGCCCCTCTTCTTCCTCGGCGCCACAAACGAGTCAAACTCCGGAATTACACGGGGTAAACCACCCGAAACGCCCGTTTTTTTCCCCTTTTTCAGCGGGGCGCGCCCTGTCCAGGGACGGGACATAGTAGCAGGGCCAAAGGGGGAGTAGGGGGGTTCGCGGTACCCGATCGGGGGGGTGGAGGGGGTTTCGGAGTAGCTGTACTGAAAGGGGAAGTGCGGATCGATAGGGGCAATCTCGGGATCCCCTTGGGGTTGGGGGATGTTGAAGAAGTGGTCCTTTTGGGCGACGGAGAGCGGCTTTTTCCGGCCGGATAGGCCCAGCCAGTTCTGGCGCTCAGAGGCCGTGGAAGAAGGAGAGGAGGAGGAGGAGGAGGAGGAGGAGGAGGAGGAGGAGGAGGAGGAGGAGGAGGAGGAGGAGGAGGAGGAGGAGGAGGAGGAGGAGGAGGAGGAGGAGGAGGAGGAGGAGGAGGAGGGAGAGGGGGAGGGAGAGGGGGAGGGAGAGGAAGAGGAAGAGAGCGAGGAGGAGGGTGATGCTATTTCTTCTTGCTGCCGCTGCTCCTGCTCCTGCCGCCACTGCTGCTGCTGCCGCCATTGCTGCCGCTGCTGTTGCGAAAGAGCATCCACATACTCTTCCTCGTGCGGCCGCCGCTGCTGCTGCTGCCCCTCCTCCTGCTGCTGCGGCTGCTGCCAACCTGTGGTAGTAGACCTACCGAGGTACACAGACCTGCGCTGCTCCCGCTCTAGCTGGTGCTCCAAGTCAGCCCCAGCCGAGCACCCCATCAGGTCATCGCCATACGCGCTCCCATCTCCCATGCTCGCTTCAACCCCCCTAGCCTCAACCCCCCTAGCCTCAACCCCCCGTCCTTCAAACCCCTTCCTTTCAACCCCGGACCATCCACGTCTGTTTTGCGCACCTGCGGATACAGATGGCCTATTATTCTGATCATTGTCCCCTCGCTCCTGCGACCGTGCATAATCTCTGCTGGGCCGATAGCCTGAAACTCTCCCCTGAGATCTCCCAAAACCCTCAACCTGGCCTGGACCCTGCTTAAACCCTCTACCCTCCGTCTCCCCTCGCCACCTGCTCTCCTCGCTGTGTGTCCCCCACCTCTCCCTCTCCCTCTCACTCCCTTCCCTTTCTCCCCTCCACCTCTCCTTTCCCCCCTCCTCTCTACCTCCATAGTTGTACCCTCCCCCTCTCCCCTCCCTATAGCTATTTCTCACCCGCCCATCTCCACCTCCCTCCCGCTCTCTCCCCTCCCAGTACCCACCCCGCGCCCTCACATCCCCATACGCGCCTCGCTCCGCCCTTCTCTCGTCCCTTCGTCCGCCTCCTCCTCCCCTTCTCTCCTCTCTGCCCCTCACTCCCCCCGAATAGTCCCCCCTGCTGCCCCCCTCCCCTTGCCCTGCCGATTCCCTTCCCGGCGTTCCCGACTCCCACGGGGCTTGTAACGGAGCGCCCTTTAGCGGGGATGCGTCGCGCCGTGAAACTCCCGAGGATCTCGAGGATCTTGAAGATCTAGAATCTCTGGAGGATACGCCACGTGTTGCTTCTTCGTCACGACCTCTCTGCTGCCACTGGTCGGGTCTAGCACCGTCCCGAGCCTCCTCGCTTCCAGGCCTGCTCCGAACCTGCTTTCGAGGTTCGGCATTCGTCCGAGCCTGCCTAGGAGCTTCGGCGTCGTCCGAGCCTACGCTGTCCCTCTGGCCAATCGAACTGCTCTTCCCCACCCACTGTTTCCAAGCCTCCTGTCGCTGTGCGATTAAGGGGTCCACGTAAGCGCCTTCTGACGCGTCCACGTCAGCAGGACCATCCGACAATCGCTGCCGTCCGTAAGATCTGCCTCGATCTAATGGCCCGTCTTGCCAGCTGGCGCATAAAACCCGGAACCCTGCGCTGCTTCGCCTAAGACCGCCACTGCCTCTGTGACTTAGACTGCTGGTGTAGCGTAAACCACTGCTTCCTCTTGAACCGACCGCACTTGATCTGGTTAATCTGATGCCGCGTCGATCCTGATCGGTGAAATGGGGTGACTGCAGCGAAACCGTTAACGGGAGTGCTACTATCGAAACCGCGGAGTTGGTGAATAACGCGGATGTTGGAGGGGCAAGCGTGCGGGCAAGCGGCGGAAAGTGCAACGCGGTCGGGTGCGCGGAGCATTGCGCAAAGGCGCGGAGCGGATGTCCTTGCGGAAGCATCGGGGGAAGCATCGGGGGAAGCAAAGAGGGGCGACGCGGGGCTGGCGGAAGTTCTGCAGCGCGGAGCAGGCGCGCGAAAGGCGGGTCCGCGCACGCGGAGAAGCCACGCGCTGAATCCAGGCGAAACAAGTCGAGGAATCCAAGGGGTAGAGGGTCACGGCCTAATCGCCCTGGTCGCAAGAAGCGGCGCATGCGAAGGCGAGGGTGGTGGTGTGAATTGAGCTTGACTGGATGCTAGTTGCGACGAGAAAGGATTGGAAGGTAGTGCAGAGATGTGGATGTGAATTTTGTCGTGAATTCTGTGTGTTGGAAGACTGTCTTATGCGGTGCACTTCGGTTTTTTTTTTTTTGTCTATAACAGGTTGATGCTGAGAGTATTAGGAGAAAACGCTTCGTGATTGAGTGTGCAAACGAATAAAAATCAACTCATCTATGGTACAAAGTTTATTAGGGCAAAAGCTCCTCTTCACATCGGGAGCGCTCTATTCTGCGCAGAACGAAGAAAACGAAGCATGCTACAATGCACATGCGTGCAACGACGACAAACGCATTGACCGTTGAGGACACAAGCATCCATTGGTCGTCGTTCTTGTATTGATTCATTTCTGTGTCGTATAGCTCCCCCTCCAAATCCAAGTGCTCCGATTCTTGTTTTGCTCTTGCTGCTGCCATCATCTGCCATAAAGGAAATCAGAAATGGCATTACGCGCGTAGAAGATGCAAGAAGAAAGGTGTGCGCAACGAGTGACAACAGGGGTTGATATTGGGAGCAATGGCAAATGGAGGACAGAGGGTCAGAGACGGCAACAGGAATAAATAATAAAGAGTGCAAAAAAGGGAAGGGGAGTGGAGGGGAGGGGGATTAAAAAAGAAGCAGGAGCTGTCGAGCTTACGATATGGAAGTAGTCGTCCAAGGTCAGCTTGTGACCGCTGAAGCAGCACAGCTCAGGCGAGGCCTCGTTGGTGGATGTCCTTGCTGGAATGGGGAAACCGAGGACATCATTGGAAGAAAACAAAATGCACAGTAAAAAAAAATGCAAGATTTCCCTCTGAAGAATAGGAAGGGTGGTTGCAGAGGAAATGGGTCCGAGGGTAGCGGGGAGGGGAACGAGAGAGGAAGAAGGGGGGCGGGAAAATGGGGATGCAGGGATGACGCAGGGGTGGGTCCCAGTGGGGGGGAGGGGGAGGGGTGGGTCCGAGTGGGGGGGGGGAGGGGTGGGTCCGAGTGGGGGGGGGGGGGGAGGGGTGGGTCCGAGTGGGGGGGGGGGAGGGGTGGGTCCGAGTGGGGGGAGGGGGAGGGTTGGGTCCGAGTGGGGGGGGGGGAGGGGTGGGTCCGAGAGGGGGGGGGGGGAAGGGGTGGGTCCGAGTGGGGGGGAGGGGGAGGGGTGGGTCCGAGTGGGGGGGAGGGGGAGGGGTGGGTCCGAGTGGGGGGGGGGGAGGGGTGGGTCCGAGTGGGGGGGGGGGAAGGGGTGGGTCCGAGTGGGGGGGAGGGGGAGGGGTGGGTCCGAGTGGGGGGGAGGGGGAGGGGTGGGTTCGTACCGCCATCATCTATATTGCTGTCGGGCCCATTGCGTGTAACGCCATCGGTCTGGTTACCACATAGGAACAGTGCTCCTTGACCCAGATCCACCACTCTGCAGCGGCTCTTGACCAACTCGCTACAAGGCAGCTCGGTACAAGCACCTGCATGGTGGGAAGCCCCAGAGAAAAATTTAGTGGTATGGCTATGATACGTGCAAAAAGTACAAGACCTTGCAGCTATGATACGATGGGGACCTTGCAGGTAGACTACGTGCAGCGACATCAGGGCGTGTCACTGCTACACCGCCCCCATTCTCCTCACGAACGGCCTTCCTCAGTTCGCACCTGGACTCGCGAGAACGATCTCAATGCCCTTGGACCCTCCGCGTAGTAGCGCGCTTCGAAGCGCCGTCTGTTGGCCCGTGCCCTCCGCCGAGAAAGGAGATGGTTCCGAGATCCCGTTTCCTTCCGGGATCGTCCTTTCTTTCATTAATCTCTCTCCGGCTACCGTGGATTGCGCGGTGATCCCCAGGAGGAGGAGGGTGATGAAGCCGATGCAGCGGATTGGAAGGCATGCCTCTGCTGCTGCTGCGAGCGCCTTTGGGGGACACAGAGGGGAAGGGACAAGAAACTGGCATGAAACGGACATGAAACGGACATGAAACGGACATGAAACGGGCACGTAAACGCGGGTGGTTTCGACTCAGAAAAGAACTACGAGAGGCATCACTAAGGCCTTGGTGGTCTGCGGGGGGAACGAGAGTACTGAGGTCCGCCGCAGGTTGTTCTTCTGCTTTTCTTTTCTTTTCTGGGGGCAACGGCCTGCTCTCCGCCGTTGCGAGGTGGCGTGGGCGGGACGTGGAAGAAAATGGCATGGCGCCGTGGCGAGGATGCGAATCCGCAGCACGCAAGCTCACCATGATGACACGGCCGCGTAACGCGGCGCGGTGGGCTTCTGCGGATGAAAAAGGCAGGACTCGGAGTCTACGAAGACGGCCAGCAGAATAGGATGCTTGATTCTAGAGGCGCGATGCCGCAGCCACGGGGAAAAGGTTGTTATCAAATTTGAAAAATCGAACGAGCGAATGACGCGCTGCGGGGAAGCACGGGGCGGTACACGGAGGCCACGTAGGGAATGCTGCACGTACCACCGACTAACAGCCTTGTGCTTCGAGGAAGAGCATATTTGCTTCGTGTACAAGTCGATGTGCTTCAAGCAAGAGCAGCAGTCCTGTTAGGGCGTGTAGCCTACGGTTTTGTCGGCCTGGTTCCGGAACTAAGTTCCGAACTCGATATACTCGAGTTCCGTTCATCACTGGAACATCGAGTTTCGAAACTCAACTACGACTGCTGTCCGTCAGTGGAACATCGAGTTTCGAAACTGGATGTTACATCGTTCAAAGGTTTGAACGACGTGCGAAAAGAAATATGCGAAGAAACGAAACAGAAATCCAGCACCTCGTAAGCCAATCACATGCTAGGCTTGACGAATCTCGCAGCACACATTTTGTTTTGACACTTCCGCGATTGGCGGTTCAGTCGCGCGAGCGAATTCGATCGTTGACTTGGTGTCATTTCCCCCGACGGCCTCGCGTGTTCTTTTCGCACAGAACTGGAGGGAGATTCTCAAACGGCCGTCCGGACGACCGTTCGAAACTGGCGTCCGGACGTCGCTGGAACATCGAGTTTCGAAACTGAAGAATCCTTCACAACAGTCTTAGCGAGCTTTCGTGCGATTTCTGGCGAAATTTGTCACCAAACCAAAACTCGGACGGGACTCAGTTCCGGAACCGTAGGTTACACGCCCTTAGGACTGGGGAAAGAAAAGTCGATCAAGCTAACAAAATAGAATGCTGCTCTTTCAAGGGTTTTGAGGAGGCATGTGGTTTGTGCGGGGGAACTGTGCAGACTTCGCACAGGGTGGCGAAAATGAAGAACCGTGGAGAAGCACGCGTCATCCATTTCTACCCAATTGTAACTCATCATTTGTAAATCAAGCATGAAGGAGAACCTGGATGTTGCCTGCCAGCATGGTTGGTCTTGGTGTGTCGTAGAGACGTGGCGCGACGCGGAATGTACGGTACAGACACTTGGTGCCCCAAATCTAGTTTCCACCTAACCTGCGATATTTTCTATCCCCATATTTTCCCCTGGGTTGCAGTGCGAGGACAGTCACTTTAAAAGCCGTGTTCTAAGAGGTGTTTTAAGCATCCATGAAAAAAAAAAACGGACTTGTGTTTCTAGATGTACGATGTTTAAAGGGGCAACATTTCCCACCCTTGGTACTATCTCTTTTCGAAGTCTAGGACCCTCGTCAAAAAGTGGAGGCGGAGAGGCCAGGGCCCGAGCCCGTAGATACGCGGGAAGGACACTTGCGGACCCAGAAACGGCCAGGGTAACGACGAAAGTTTCCCAAACCCCGTTCCGCGCAGGCCTCTCGATATCCTAGGGGTCACCCTGCAGTTTCCGAGTTTGCCCGGGATCCAAATCGTCCAGGCTGGGTAGCCCTAAAACGTTTGACTGTTTTTGCAGGCAAGAGTTTCGTCAAGCTCTTGACAATGACAAGCTCTCGTCAAGCTCGGAATCAGCCACTCCTGACAATGACAGGGGGAGAATTTTTTTCTAGGGGCGCGAGCGTTGAAATTAGATTTTACAGGGCGGGTCTATCCCGTACTCGGAAATTGGCCGTGGAATAATTCTGGCTTGCTTGTCCATGGACGGGTATCGATATTCGGAATGCGTAAAAAACAGGGCTCGGTTAAAATATCACCATGATTTCCTTGAGAAATAAGAGTAATTACCCTGACTTCCAGAGGCCTGGTTCCGCGCGGTGAAAATGTCGCAGGTTAGGCGTTCTTCCTTGCGCCAAGCTACACTTTCACTTCCGCCAACCCTCAGGCTTTTCTGGCAGGTGGCGCCCAGCCCAACCTTTCGCCTAAACGAAGGGCGCACTCTCCGTGCGAGTCAGCTGTCTGGCACGAGGTCTTGGACGGCAGGGATCCAGGAATACAGTACAGTATCAGGAAGATACATGAGCTGTCACGATCTAAGCCGTGAATTGGTTTGGTTGTCAGCATTCTAGGCAAGGACGGAGAACGGCCCTCTACAAATTCCCTAATCTGGACAAATTCTGGGCCAGGATCCGCAAGTGCCTGCCCCTAAAATACCTGCCCGCATGAGAGCGTGTCCAAAGTGTTATTTCTGCAAATGACAGCGGATGACAGCGGATAACAGAATGGATGACAGGGGCTGCCAAGCTGTTTTGGCGCGTCCAAGGTGCTGTGCAGGGACCCTGGCTGAACGGATGACAAACGGATGACAGAACGGATGGCTGGCTACAGTTCAAAAAATATGAGCAGTTCGCTCGGGCAGGATGACGGGACAGTGCACGCCAAAATATACAATCAATTTTGGCGCCACACGCACGAAATCACGCGTTGCGAAATGAAGCTAGGAGGAATTCTTGAAACTCGCACTCGCACGTTGCGAATTCACGCAACGCTGGCGAATCGCGGGAATGGGTTCCGAGAGTGTTACAAATCGATTTCGCAAGTGCCAGTGTCAGCTGCCTGTTTTGAGGTCGACGGAAATGACGAGATCCGGAGGGCGAAAACGTAACATTTAGAATCCCCTCTTTTTTTTTTCGAATTGTCTGCCCACAGCCGCCCGCAAACGGCACGTGTGACACTGTTACCATGGGTGCTTCTACTGCTGTCATCTGCAGTCATCTGTTAGATGACAGAACGGAAGACACATAGCTTTGGACACGCCCTAAGAAGGTGTCCAAAATGAATTTCGACATCTGACGACATCCGTTGGGGGATGTCGAGGGACATCGACTATCGATTCCTTCCAATCAATGGTCCGCATCACTCAACACGACCCCAACGGATGTCGTCGGATGTCGAAATTCACTTTGGACACTCCCTAGTGTATACACATCGAAGAGGCCATCTTGTGCTTGCCCAACATATCTGCGCTCTGCAAACGGGGCATCAAGTGGCGCCAGCAAGGCCGAGAAGGAGGAGGATTGGTGGTCAGGCAGACTGCTCATTCGCGGGATGACCTGTCCGTGCTCTGGCATGTGATATTGGGCGAGGAGCATAAAACCTGGCCAGGGGCGTGTACAATCCATCTGACCTGATGCGCGACCTCGGAACAACCTGTTTGCGAATCGCACGGGGTGGTTTGGGACAGGAATATGCGGGAGCCGGGAACCGATTGGGACAGACCCGGGCAGGGCAAATGCGGACATCCTTTCCAATCACAGGGATCGATATGAGTTAGCGATGTGTGGAATGACGTGTCGTATCTTACATAAAAAATCAAATCACACAAAAAAGTGTGTGTGAGCTGTTGGAAATGCACTTACTTCGTGAGCAACTAAGGTATGTGCGCGAATGCTGACTATACTTGGGAGTGATATGCTGGTACGGATATTGTAGTATATCAATAGTTCAACATGAAGTTTTCATACATGATATTGTCAAACATGTTTAGTTATCATGCTTGTATAGACTGTATAGGGTTATCTTCTAGAGAGTACAACATTTAGGTATATGTTTGTGTACTCTCTCTCTCTATTCATCAATTTCACTGTTCGTTATGGTATCACGCGTAGGTAGGATCCCCCCCCCCCCCCCCCCTCACGCTTCCACTCGCCCCCTAGCTGGGCCCCGTCGTGCTCCTAGCCCCGTCGCGACCCTCCCTAGCCCCGTCGCGACCCTCCCTAGCCCCGTCGCGCCCCTTCCTGGGCCCCGTTGCGCCCCTTTCTGGGCCCCGTCGCGCTCCTCCCAGGCCTCGTAGCGCCCCTCCTGGGCCCCATTGCGCTCCTCCCAGGCCCCGTCGCTCCCCTTCCAGGGCTTCGTAGCGCCCCTCCAGGCCCCGTCGCGCCCCTTTCAGGGCTTCGTAGCGCCCCTCCAGGCCCCGTCGCGCCCCTTCCAGGGCCTGGTAGCGCCCCTCCAGGGCCCCGTCGCGCTCCTCCCAGGCCCCGTAGCGCCCCTCCTGGGCCCCATTGCGCTCCTCCCAGGCCCCGTCGCGCCCCTCCCTAGCCCAGTCGCGCTCCTCCCAGGCCCCGTAGCGCCCCTCCTGGGCCCCATTGCGCTCCCCCCAGGCCTCGTCGCGCCCCTACCTGGGCTTGGTAACGCCCCTCCAGGCCCCGTCGCGCCCCTACCCATCCCCGTCGCCCCTGCTCGGCCCCGTCGCCCCTGCTCGGCCCCGTCGCCCCTGCTCGGCCCCGTCGCCCCTGCTCGGCCCCGTCGCGGCCTATCGGCCGCGTGGCGCCCGCCCGGCCCCTGTCGCGGCTGCCCGGCCCCTTTCGCACCTGCCCGGCCCCTGCTCGCCCGCCCGGCCCCGTCGCCCCTGCCCGGCCCTGCTGTGGCCTGCCCGGGCCCCGTCCCTGCCGCCCGGCCCCGTCGCCGCCGCCCGGCCCCGTCGCAGCCGCCCGGCCCTGTCGCAGCCGCCCGGCCACGTCGCAGCCGCCCGGCCACGTCGCAGCCGCCCGGCCACGTCGCAGCCGCCCGGCCCCGTCGCCCCTGCCCGGCCCTGCTGTGTCCGGCCCGGCCTCGTCCCTGCCGCCCGGCCCCGTCGCAGCTGCCCGGCCCCGTCGCAGCCGCCCGGCCACGTCGCAGCCGCCCGGCCTTGTCGCTGCCGCCCGGCCCCGTCGCCGCCGCCCGGCCCCGTCGCAGCCGCCCGGCCCCGTCGCCGCCGCCCGGCCTTGTCGTGCCTGCCCGGCCCCGACGCACCTGCCCCGGCCCTCCATACTTCCTGGTACTGTCCCCCGTTCCCCGCACCACTTTGCACCCTCCTGCACTTTCCTGCCCCGCCTTGCATCGCATTGCACTTCACTGGATCGCACTGACCGCACTGCACCGCACTGGACCGCACTGCACCGCACTGCATCGCACTGCACCGCACTGGACCGCACTGCACCGCACTGCATCGCACTGCACCGCACTGCACTGTCCTCCACTGCCCCTCATGGCTGCTGAGCTTCGTTTTGATGTTGAGGGTCAGCCTCTGGAGTTCGAGGCGTGGTTGGCTGACCTTCGCCGCCACCTCACTGGCCAGCGGCAGGACGGCCACCCGCTTTCTGCACACCTAGACGGTATGCTCCCCTGCCCTGACCCCCCTGCTGTGCTGCCCGCTGATCCCATGCCCGCTGAGCGCGAGTCC